CGTCGTCTCTATGTATATAAGAGTAGAGTTTTAATGACATGATTTTTTTTTACCGTAACGTCGCGGGAACGTCAGATTTCGCAATAACTTATTTACAGTCCACAGAGACAGTTGCATCATACATACGCGCTCATTGATTTATGATTTACGTACACGTATTTCGTACATTGCGGCTTTCGCAAAAATGAACAACAGGCAACAATGTTAAATCAACGACAGAATATGATTTTACATGTGTCGTGTCATGTCTGATGTTACATGCCATGTAAAACAGCGACGGTAATGATTAATCTCTCTCGTTACAGCTAATCTGATATACCACCCGCAACTTAACAATACCTTCTTTACAAGTCATTAATAATAAATTACTTAAGTTTACGTCATATAAAACACACATATGTATGTCTGTGTATAAATAGATTGCAATACTATTCAGTTTCTTCCAGTATGACATAAAAAATTCAATCGTATAATTTAATCGTTACGAAGATGCAACAGAAAAGATGTAAAAATAAAAACTATAATCTTATGAAAATTTACATTCTTTGTCACAGATGGATATGCAAGACAGAAATGCAAAACATTAAATATTCGTACGTATGACACATTAATAATCTGTAAAAGATACGGTACAATAATTTCAATGATTCGCATGAACACAAAGAGACAAATTTTTCTTCGATATAAATATAGATAGATATACATATACAATGTATATATGTATATATTTCGCCTTTTATTTGCTATCCTTTCTCTGATTTCTAAATATTGTGGTACAATAAACTGCCAAATTTATTATAGCATGCGCAGTGTGGCCCCTCGCATAAGAGTGTAAGAGATATTTTCTTTTTCCTGACTATATCATAATTCTAGATTCGAATAAATTCGATCCTATATGGTCGATCGGTCGTTCACTTTTTTTACGCTGAAGTGACTGACATAAAAAAATATATCCAGCCACCTTCCCCATCCGGATGAATAGCTATAAAATTACATCTCTCCATACGTGTATATAGACGTTCAGAATCTCTAAGTCACACTTTCCTTGTATCAGTAATTGTAGATTTTATCAACATCGATAAGTTTCATAATTCTCATCGATTACACTAATTCTTCTAGATTTTATTTTCTACAGTTTCATGGCCACATAAAATTATTCACTCGTAAATTTACAGACAATTTTTTTTCCTTTATCTCAACAAAGATGGATGCTTCTCATCAATCCTTTTACAACGTCATTGTAACATAAATTGTTATTTTTTAATATTTGTTTTTAATTTTAATGAGGACAATGAAATTCTTCATATCGTAGGATTTCACAGATGTTATAAGTGGTTATATTTGCAACGTTTTACCCGTTGATCAGTTAGAAACGTAATGTAGAATTAATAATGTTATAGTGCGCAGTTCAATGTTATATACAATTTCATTGATAAAATTAATGATAAAAGTTCTGATTAGAAATTTTATAGTCAATACTTTTTTTTGCTCCCTAAGTAAAGATCTCTTTGAGATCTATCTCTTTAAGATACTGTCGTCTTTACAATATATTTTGCAATGCTTTATGTATCTCTGTATTATATTATTCATTGTACATTCTCCAGTCAGATAACGGAACATCTGCAAACTTCTACGATATTGAGTTACAATAAAATGTGTCATTAAATATTCATAATCAATATAAATATATATCTCCGGGATATATACGTACGTGTATACATATGCGATTGAAATTATATCATGTATGACGTTTGTAGTATATTGTTTGTAGTATACGTTTGTGTATATTGTTTATAGTATACTTGGATTTGTGCAATACGTGTTTAAATTCAAATACATAAATGTAGATAGATTATTTATGCATAAACGTTAATAAATTGAGCATTACGAATATATATATATACAAGTATATTTCTCTACATATTTATACACGCATAATGTATGTAACTGGTGTGTGTGTGTGTGTGTGTGTGTGTAAAATTATTGAATAACATATCGAAATAAGGTACACTTTCACGATTTAATCATAAACTCTAAAAGACAATAGTATAATTAATACAATGATAATTGCGATCAATAAAACATCTTTTAACAGCGTATCTATAAAAATTTATAAAAACCAATTGCGTAAAATCGTATACTTAATACGAATAAAAATAATAGAAAATATAAAGAACGTAACAAAAGTTATATTTATATACTGATCATTAATCAGATAATGGAAGCACTTTAATTTATTGGATATTTTCATATTTATCCTGAATTACTTGTTTAAACAACTAATTCGTCATTATGCCATGGATGCCTGCGTGACTTTATAAATTAGAAAACAAGTTATAAATCGAGTTATAAAATGGTATACAAAGTATATAATAATACATCAACATTGCGCGTATCAAGGCCATTTTCTAAATATCTTAGCTAAATTGTCTATAACAATTCGAATTGTTTGTTAAAATAGAACATCTTTCTTTGTACGACGGGGGTATATAATGGATATACCCACTAAGAAAGAACATTCACTTAATCTCTCTCGATCAACAAATTCAAAACATAGTCCAGTCTTAAATAATGTTAATATTAAAATTATAGTTGTGCTTTCATATAGTATATCTTTTGATACACAAGCATAATAAGATATTGACGGCAAATAAGTCGATCGTCTACAATGGCAGATTAGGAAAGAGAAAATTATAAAATCCGGTATGACTGATGAATATGGATCAAAATTCATAATCCTAAATATCTCAGGATTAAACCTACAAATATCTATGCGATAATGCACTTAAATTAATTTTCCTTCAAAAAACAATAATAAAACTATAATATTTTAAATAATTACTTTATCTCTTGTATGTACTTTTTAATTATTATATTTGAATGAGCGCGAGCGTGGCATGGCAGATAGCGTACTAGTTTATCATGGCAGAGGTTCGATCCTGGTAAGAATCAAAATATTTACGCTCGTGTCTTCTCTCGAAAAATTGAATAATCAGCGTCCGTACCACAAGCATAGAGAAAGGTATAAGGCCGGAATTAGACTATGCATTGAAGATTGAGATTAAAAATTGAAATTTGACCAATGAAGACAAAGGAATTTTAGGTTCTATTGTTTTGATTGGAAATTTCAATCTTCAATGCGTAGTTTGAGTCCGATTTAATACAGGCCAGAAGTCTAATGTAAGAAAAAAAAGAATATTAAATGGAGGCCTGTTTCGAATGAGTCTTTTCAATGAGTCACGTCATAAATCATAATTCAGAACGTTGAATTCAAAGCACCTGGTCTGACCATCTAAAAAAATAAGATAAAAACAGACCTTTCATGAGTATTATTGTATGTATATACATACGTAATGATACTTTATTCATTAAATATTCTTTTTTTTTTGCAGAAAAATAATTTTGCAGACAAATAATTTTAATTTATAATTATAATACCAGAAATAATTATTTACACACTGAGCAAACCTAGTGATTCTTAACTTTGACATTTAGCATAAGGATATATATTGTTACCATAATTGATCATATAGTATTTGAATAAAAAAATGAATTAATTAAATCATTTTTTTCTACTTTTTATTGTACCACATTTTCATGCATATTTATTACAAGCACAAAGTCAAGAACCATTTAGGTTTGCCTGTTCATTCGTATAATCAAAGAAGAGAAGAACCCGGAATTTTGGTCGAGTAATTATTTATTTTGCTTATATCAACAAATATTAGTTAAATACTGAATTCTAAATAATTTCTTGAATAATTTACGTTACATTATATAAAATTTTTTTATTAATTAACTGTTCCGTTAAAGTCAAAAACGATAGAATTTAACTTTTTAATTAGCCTATTAACTATATACGATTCTATCTAGACAATCTGAAGTACGAGGAACGTTTGAAAAGTTTTGAGCCTAACATAGAAGTAAATACTTTTTTGGTCAACTTTATTTTGTTTTTCAACATAGTCTCTTTTTAAGTCGATACACTTTTCCCAGCGATGCTCTCCTTTAACCCATCTAAATAATAGTTGGTGTTTTACTCTGCACAATAGACTTCTACAGATGCGATGATCTACTCGTTCGATGAAAATTTCTGTCCTCCGAATCAAACTTTAAGTCTAGGAAACAGAAAAAAGTCGCTGGGAGCGATCCAGGTCTGGTGAATAGTCAATCAATTTGAGTGGGTAGTCAATCAATTTGAACTGCAATTCATAAATTTTTACCACAGCGACCAAAATGTGAGATAGTGCGTTATTTTGATCGAACAGCACTTTCTTTTTCTTCAAATGCGATCGTTTTTTAATTTCTAC